GGGGGATGGGCAGGGCCGCTCTCCGCCCCGACTGTGTCGCCGACCCCTCCCCGTCCCTGCCCGCAGGAGATGGTCATCACAAACCTGCAGCCCGAGACCGCCTACTCCATCACGGTAGCCGCCTACACCATGAAAGGCGACGGTGCTCGCAGCAAACCCAAGGTGGTGGTGACCAAGGGAGCAGGTACAGACCCCTGCACGGGCCCCCCGCCCCCAGACCGTCCCGCGGAGTCCTTGCGCTCGTGCGCCGGGCAGCGGGGACAGAGAGCCAAGGTGCGGGGGCTCCTCGGGAGGGCGTCCGGCCCTGCCACGTCCTCATCCCTGGCTTCCCTGCCCGCTTAGCTCCGGAAAGGTGGAAGCCGTTACCAGGCCTCTGTCCCGTCCGGGCTTCTCCGGGGCTGTTCCTTCTGCCTGGATACCCTTCTCCGGGCCAGCTGCTTGCTCCCCGTCCTTAGGTCTTCGATTCGCCCGCCCCTCCTCGGGAAGCCTTCCCCACCCCGCCCCCCGTGCCACAGCCTCGGTCCAGGGTTCCCTCCGGGCACCCCCAGCACCCCCGTGCTGCCCCCGTCACAGCGGTGATGGCCCCGAGTGGGTTGTGGTTGAAAGTTACCGCGCGCATCGTCCCCGCTGCCCGCGACGCCTCTTCTCCGTGCAGCCCTGCCTCAGTTTCCCCCTCCGGCCCCTCCAGGCCCCTACCACCTGTCCCGAGGGACTGTTTTTACCCCAGCCAAAGCTGAGGAGGGAGAGGCAGCCGTGCAAGGGGAGAGGGTTCTGGGCGGATGGCACAGCCTGGGCAAAGGTGTGGGGTGGAGAACAAGTTGCTTGTGTTTCAGGAGTGATGGGTCCTGAGGCCTCCCCAGCGCGTCCCGCACCCACCGCTTCCCCAGCGACCCTCCCTCTGTCCACATAGCCTGATGTTCCAGGCCCGCGGGACACAACCCCTCCCCACGCCCCTGCGAGTCCTTGCCCATGCGGTTCCCTCCGTCTGCCTAGTCTCCGTATCCTTCTGTGTCCAGCACCCTCGTTGCCCCTTCCAAGCAGCCTCCCCTGATTGTTTCCTCTTCTCTCAGGGACATCGCATCACAGAACCCGCTACACATGCTGTGGCTGCTCAGAGCACAGTTCCCAAAAGGTCCTGATAAGTCCTGCAGGGAAGAAGCCTGGTTTTATTGAAGATTTTTAAAGTTTATTTGTTTATTGTGAGAGAGACAGAGGGAGAGGGGGAGAGAGAGAGAGAATCCCAAGCAGGGTCACCGCTGCCAGCTGCGGGAGCCCGACGCGGGGCTCCGACCCACAAACCGTGAGATCGTGACCTGAGCTGAAACCAAGAGTCAGATGCTTAATCTCCTGAGCCAGCCAGGCACCTCAGGGTTGGCTATCTTTGTAGAGCATCTCTACTGCAGGACTTAGCAGGACCTTGGCACGTTGCTTGCGAGAACCATGGGGCAAGGGCAGGGTCGTGGACGTTGCTGTGTCCCATGGGTGTTAATCCTGTGTCAGCTAGAGGCAAGGGGCAGATCAGTGAGGCACAAGATGACTGACTTCCTAACGAAAAGAAAAGATAAGCGTCCAAGGGCCTCTTCTGACACCTGTAGATGTTTTCCCGCACCAGGTCCCCCGAGTCCCCTGCCTCCTCGCCCGCCCTCCCACTCGCCCGGCACAGTGCCGCGCAGGGCCTTTGCACAGGCTGCTTCCTTTGCCCGGAACGCCCTTTCCGCCGCCACCCT